ACACACAGACACACACACACACACACACACACAGTGATAGACATACATGCTCCTACATGTAAATTCTATAAATAAATAAAAGGAGACATTTTTATTTTATGATTTTTATTCTATATTATTATTACTGATTTGTTGGATGTTATAGTGAAGAACACTCAGACTTAGTTTTTTAAACTTCTGACCTTTAATGAGCAGCTCGGGTGTCACAGGTGAACAGCGTGCGTTACATTCACCGAAGAAAAAGACTTGACGTCTGTTTTTAAGACAGACCGCAGAATGTCTCACTGAGCTCCCACAGCTTTTTGGCCACGGCGTCGTCTCTCGCCTTCGACAGGACGTTGTGATCTGGGGCGCACTCTGAAAAGAAATGGCCGCTGAGGTGTTCGATGCCTGGCTCCAGGGCACAGTGGAGCGTGGTCTGACATCCAGACTCTGCATCTCTACTGAAGAGACGGAAGATGTTACCAAAGAAGAGTTTCCACCAGAAGCTGAAGTGACGGCCGATCTCCGTCCTCACACATCCTGCAGAGAAAAGAGCGAGAGTTCATGGAAGACCACAGGACGAAGATCAGACATCAAAGAGATCAAACTTGTGAAAAGTGAAGAGAAGAGTTGAAACTGTGTTTTCATATTTAACGTTGAAGCTTGAGCTTCTGATCAATAACCCTCGACTTTGATGCAATTTTATTTGGATATCTTAAAATCATAATATACATAATCTCAAGACACTTTACTTATTAAGGTCGAGATCTGATGACATGGCCCGGTGACATGTGGGAAACATATATTACATGACCACGAAATGATAACGTGTTCCTCTGTGAACGCACCTGGGTGGAGGCTGTAGCAGGTGACGTCGCTGCCCCGCAGCCTCTTCGCCAGCTCGTAGGTGAAGAGGTTGTTGCACAGTTTGCTGTCGCCGTATTTCTGGGAGACCTGGAGGTCGTTACTGCCCGAAGCCAAATCTCTGTGAGTCCTCAGAAAGTTCAAATCCACCTTCCCAAGACCAAAGGCTTTGGAGGACACGTTCACCACACGGCTCGGTCCGCTCGCCTTCAGCCGGTCCAGGAGCAACACCGTCAGCAGGAAGTGACCCAGGTGATTGACGCCGAATATCATCCCGAAACCGTCCTCTGTCTTCCCACAGGTCATCAGGCCTGAGGACAGAAACACCAGAGACACAAAACTGTCACACAGAGTTGAAGAGACAGGAATGTACACACACACACACACACACACACACACACACACACACACACACACACACACACACACACACACAC